TATTAAATTGTTGGTAAGTGGTGAGGTGGATTATCAATTATCATATATAATATTATTATATAACAGGAGTGGCGAACACACGGCACGCKTGCTAAAAGTGGCACATTTGTCAAATTTCAATGGCATGTGAAAAATTTAAATTTTGAAAAGTTATGCTAATCATAAATTGTTGCTTGTAAAAAGTTCGAAGAAACTAATCATAAACATTTTAAAAATTATAATATTTCTATGTAAAATTGATTATGTTACTATATTTATTGTGTTCTATTTAGTATTTACAATGTTTGGGCACATGAAAAATTGTCAAGCTTTTGATTGAAAAAATTTGGCACTAGATCTAAACAATGTTCACCACCTCTTTTATRTAATTATAAAATGTTTTTCTACACTTAGGTAGGGTATAGTTCTACCATAGGTTTTAAGTTTTAACCTAACTAACCTTTTCTTCGTTAGTTTTCGTGAAATAATGATTCATAGGAAACTATAGATACTTGAAATATTCATTATGGCATTTTTATCTTAACAAAGTGAAATTTTCAAAATATTTAATTTTATACTTTTTAATATTTATATCATGAAACTAATCACTATGGTATATGCTCAATCAACTTATAACGWAATATTACAACGATTAAAGATCTATTTTAATATAAAAAATAGGCAACAATTAGTCATGCATAATATACCACTAATAGAAATATTAACTATAAATTTAGTACTTACTTTATACTTGTAAGTAATATAAGTATATTCTTAAAAATAATACTTAAAAAGTGACAAGTCTTTGATCTGAARAGTTTTTTGTATGCAATGATTTTACATTGATCATTGAATTCAAATTAAACACGTCATAACTATGRCCGGCATGACCATTCAATGAAAAAGTACACTTGTAACCTAATATTTATTATTATTATTAGATATTGCTGAAGTTGGCAAGTGTGCTTAAAAAACATTAAAATTGCATTTTATTTATAAAAGTAAAAATAAATTCATTACATTTTATGATTAATGAAAATAATTATAAAAATGTTAAATTAAAAAAATAATGTAAAGGTTAGTAAATAAAAAACATAAAATTATTAATACAGAATGATTGTTTTCACAAATTATTAACTAGTGTTAAAACTTGATAATTTATTAAGATTACTAAACGCTAATCGTCTTTGTTTGCAATCATTTTCAAATTCCTCAAGTGCTTGTTGGATTTCATTTTCTCTGTGTGTCAACAACTCATCAGTTTTAGTTTTGAGTTCATCTAGGAAACGAACACAGTTTACCAATAATTCATTGTAAACTATATGTTGTTTTTGGTTGGCATGTTTGTAACCCAATGCAGCATGTTTCACTTTTGCGTATTTTGCCTGTAATTTTTCCCACTCAGACACTGTTGTAGATAATTTATCTTTCATTTGACGCATCTAATTAAGACATAAAATAATATAATAATTGACAGAATTATCCCAAATATGATTCAAATATATTAAGTATAAATATAATACTACAAATTGTGGCTTGGCATTGGGCAGTTACTGCAATMAGTCATATAATGTGATTGAAAGTATGCACCACCCACTGTATCTATTTCCTGAATGGTTGACCACTTGGGTTCTTAAACAATTCTCAAAACGTACATGTGATGCCAATCTACAATAACCCCCGCAATAAGAAAAAAAAGCCTAAGAATAACCACTCAATGGCCTATGTTGTTGACGATCAGTAGTGTATTGGAGGGTATATGTGAGTATAAAGCGTACCTTAGCAACAGTTTGCTGATTTAATGTATACCTTGTATAATTACTAAAGATACGCAGGTGTACAAACGTATATCTTCAAAATTAATAAAAACTAAAAGTTATTAATTACTTTCAAGGGGTATAATCCACATCAACATTATAAGTTAATTTTAGGTTAGTTTGGACATTTTTTTTCGATATGAAGTAAAACCCCCCTCACAAAATACATCTAAAGGCTGAGCGTATACTATAGAAAAAAATTACAAATACATCACTGTTGACAGTTAATTAATAATAATAATAATATACTAATATTTCTATTTCACTTTCKTATATTATTATAATTTGAGTCACCTCTTGGGACCAATTGGTCATTATTTGTGCAAATTTTGACCTTTCCTCTTCAATTTGTTGTTTCAGCTGATTCATATTTGTTGAACTAGAATGCATTTCTTTGAATTGCTCAAACTGACAAGTTTTATTTGAAATTTCCATTTTGGCATTTTCTAATTTCATTTCAAGTTCTTTGATCTATTTCATAAAGCATATTGAATTGTTTAGAAAACATATAAGTAAAATATAAACATTAAGCAAATGTATTCTCACTAGGTTGTTTTTTAATGTAACAATCTCTCTAGCTTTTTCAAACTGTTCTTTATGATGAGCCAAGATTTGTATCATTTCCTGGTTTGCATAGTCATCTG